AAAGCAAACATCTTATGTTTTCACTCATAAGTGGGAACTAAGCTATAAGGACGCAAAGGCATAAGAATGGTATAATGGATTTTGAGGACTTGGGGAATAGGGTAAGAGGTGGGTGAGGCATAAAAGGCCACACATCAGGTAGTGTACCTTGCTCAGGTGATGGGTGCCCCAAAATCTCAGAAATCACCACTAAAGAACTTACCCATGCAACCTAAACACCACCTGTTCCCCAAAAACCTATTTAAATAAAATAAATAAATAAAAAGACAAAAGAAATTTTAAAGTCTAGGATAGGGAAAAAAGAGATCTTAGGAATCTGTAAGACATACTTCTGTCAGCATGGCTAATAGGTTTGTGTATTTATGTGTTGTGCACACAATGTTTCTCTATTATAGAGAGCTCTAATTCACTGGCTTAAAGAAAAATACAAGTACATAAATCAACCATTATATCCATAAAAGAAGCCTCGCCAAATGGTTTTTCAAGTTCATGTGGCTTAAGAAAAACCTTTTATAAATAAGCTGGCTTTCAAACTATTGGCAAAATAATATCAAAAATGTTGTAATAATTTTTAGTATTTTTTGTTTGCATTTGTTGAGCAAGTGATTTCATGCTTATTCTTGCAGAAAACTGTAAGATTTGTCATAAGGGTTTTAAAACTTTAACCCAGCCCAAGACAGAATGATCTTTGCTTGTGTAATTTTTGATAAATAAGACATGGAATAACTTGGTTTAATGAAAACAGCTGCATTCTGAGTTATTGGTACAAATACCTTTATACTTAACCTTAAGAAAATTACTCAAATAGACTGGGCACAGTGGCTCGCACCTGTAATTTCGACACTTTGAGAGGCCAAAGTGGGTGGATCACCTGAGGTAAAAAGTTCTAGACCAGTCTGGCCAACATGGTGAAACCGTGTTTCTCCTAAAAATACAAAACATTAGCTGGGCATGGTGGCAGGTGCCTCCAGTCCCAGCTACTTGGGAGGCTGAGGCAGGAGAATCACTTGAATCCGGGAGGCAGAGGATGCACTGAGCCAAGATCACGCCCCTGCACTCCAGACTGGGCAATACGAGCAAAATTCCATTTAAAAAAAAAAGGAAAATTACTTAAACACCTGAAATTCACAGCTATAAAAATGGTTAACAGGGAATTTACATTTAATAATATCATAGTTTTCATAAATAACCTAGGTAAAATATTAAATAATCTTGTAAATGTAATGGAACAAATGGTTGTAAACAGATCTGTCATATGATTTGGGATTTAAGGCTATTTGTAGATGTTAAGTAGCTGGGTAATTTCCAACATAAAAAATACAGGAAAACATTTTTTAAATGTTCGTATTTAAAAGTAAGTATCTTTGTCTAATTCAAAGCTTCTATAAAAGTTATGTATAAAATGAGGTAAAAGGAACCAGGAAATAAGACATAGAAAGAAAGTTAAAGATATAAAGAGGAATTTTTGATAAGGTTAAAAAAAATCAACTTTACATAAGAAGAAATTTTATGTGGTAAATTTTTTGCCCTAAAGTAAAATGACTGGGTTGGTCAAGAAAGAGAAATATTTAGGCAAAACAGAAAGTCTAAGCATGTTGTGAAGCATCTATGTAAGTTGTAATAAGATTAGTTAATAGGAACTTTGTTTTTTGTTTTGTTTTGTTTAGAAAACAGGGTGGTATAATTTAGTTGGGTATGAGTAAGAAGAAAATCGTAATACTCTTTCTAGGGTGGGTCTTTTATATTAACAAAATTACATGAATAAAAACAGCAATTGGTTAAAACAAGATTTTATTTAACATATTTCAAAGATTTTATTTAAAATATTTATTTTTGAGATGCAGTCTCACTCTGTCACCCTGGAGCGCATTGGTCCAATCTTGGCTCACTGTAACCTTTGCCTCCTGGGTTCCAGCGACTCCACCTATACTTCTGTCCATAAATCATGGGCTTCCATAACCCCCTTGCTCAAGTTCAATAATTCGATAAAACTTCTCACAGAACTGAGCAGAGAAATTTTACCTATGCTTACCAGGTTTTATATAGGATACAACTCAGTAAAACTAAATAGAAAAAAAAATGTATAGGACAAAGTAAAGTGGAGGAAAAGACGGGGTGGTTAGTCAATCTTGGTAAACAGCCATGGTTAAGAACTCTCCATCCTTTGTTTCTGTAAGAACAGCTTACTGCAAATAAATACTGTTTTCATTATTACTTAGATGATGCTTCCTCTTTTAGATATCACCCACAAACTCTCTAAATTCTCATTTTTCCCTTATAAATTAATCATCTTATCTTCAGTGTTCAGAACAAAATACTTGTTAAATACACTTTGCTTAAATTTTTCTCCTTTCCCCAGCCTCCCTGACTCTGCTCCACCTTCAGTCTGAGCCAACATACAACACCCACTTTATGCTCCTCCTAAGACCAGGCTGACTTTGGGGTGAAACATTCCCTAAGCTTGAATCTGATTTTGCCATTCTCCATTCTCCTCTCTTCCTCCCACCTTCCTTCTAATCTTGTTTGCTCCTCCATATGAAACACAGCCCTTTTCTGCCTCTTGTGAGATGCTTGCAGATCTGATGCTTGGTGCTTTCCCCATTGCAATACTCCTTTAGAATAAAGTCACTTCTTATCCACATCTGAATTTATTTGGCAGTATCTAGAAGCAGCCTCAGGACAATAAGAATTACACCCTCACAAAGGACATCACAACCTGCCTCCCATCTCAACTCTCACCATGTCTGCTTGTTCATTTCCAGCTTTCCAGGGCTCTGTAGCTCCCCTCAGTATAAAGGTCCTTCTATGGCGGCTGTGAGCATGCTGGGACACATGCAGGGGAAGCTCCCCAGGAAGAAATGACTGTGCTATTCATGAACTCCTTTGACAGGTCAAGTTTGGCTTTAGGCTGCAGTCTACAGGCTCAGGTCTCTGATTTCCAGTCAAGGTTATTCATTTGGTTTTAAGTTAAAAACAAAACAAAAGAAAACCTCAGTGTTTGGCAGGGCATAGTGGCTCACACCTATAATCCCAGCACTTTGGGAGGCTGAGGCCGGCAGATCACCTGAGGTCAGAAGTTCAAGACCAGCCTGACCAACATGGAGAAACCTCATCTCTACTAAAAATACAAAATTAGCTGGGTGTGATGGCACATGCCTGGAATCTCAGCTACTCAGGAGGGTCAGGCAGGAGAATCACTTGAACACAGGAGGTGTCGGAGTTCCAGCAAAATTGATCAAACTCACTGCTTATGTTTACAGGAGTAAAGGAAAATGTAAGGTACTTAAATTTTATACTTCAAGAAAAGCCAAAATATCCATCAGACAATAAACATGTCATTTAGCTATTATTTGCATAATGACAAATAATTAATTATTAAGTAATCATATATCAACACTTCCAGGAATGTTGAGTTTTATCTCATAGAATTTAACATTAAATTCAGACATGCAGATAACAGGATACAGAATAGATTTTTCCACTATCACAAATACTCCACCATACAGAAAAGAGGAACTAATTTTCTTTTCGTAAATCACTAATTTGTCTACCACAATTTCTTGTGGAAATGAATTTATTTCTCTGTAGCTACAAAGAAAAATCTCACCCAGTAATATTCCTGAAACTAATGAGATTCTACTTGAAATCATCCACAAAAAATATTGACCTCAGGTACTTATTACACATTTTTAGGAGAAGAACAAATAAAACTATGAATTTTTTTTTTTTTGGTATATTTAGTAAAGACAGGGTTTCACTGTATTAGCCAGGATGGTCTCTATCTCCTGACCCTGTGATCCGCCCGCCTCAGCCTCCTGAAATGCTGGGATTACAGGCATGAGCCACCACGCCCGGCCCTAAAAATAAAAATTTTTAACAAATTAAATATATGAGTAGATTTTTTTCTGATAGTCACATTTTTATGTTTTTTTGATAATATTTTCCCATCTTCCAGGCTTTATCAATAAAATTCATTGTATACTTAAAAATGCAAGTTGAAATAAGAAAATAAATCCTTTCAAGATGACACACCCAAGAGTCACACTCCTGGCTGGAATAATACGCCTGACTCTAGTGTAAGTCAGGACATCCTATTGTAGGGATCCTCCCACCCCTATTCTGCTCAGGGAAGTACTCAATAACCACCTTCTTGAGAGGCTCTGCACTGTGCCCCCGGGTGTGCCTGAGGGCATTTTACTTTGCAGGGCCTTGCACAATCTTGCTAGGGAATAAATTTTCATTGTCTTTGAGGAGTTTTTCTCCCTTTGCAATTCTGAAAAAAAAACTGATGGTCAGAATTATTTCTGTCTTTCCCCTAAATATAAGCATTCAATTTGGCTGCCAGCAGCGTGTCTCCAAGACATAGAAACTGGGGTTGGAGAAAGAAAATCTTAAGGCCACAAAGATTTAGCTTTTTAGATAAAGGGTCAAGCAGATTTATAATCACTTACTGGTAATAATGTAAAGATTCAAGTTAATTGTCTACAAATAAAATACCACTGGCTCAGATATGTAAGTTCTGGATTTAACAGGACAGTGCCTCCACTTCATGGGATAGGTACTATACAATGGACATCATAAAGAGTACTGAATGCCTGCATTTGAACTACTGACTTAGTATGAGCCTCATTTGGCTCAGTGACAAATGCACCTGCACCAAACTCATATCAAGTCACTAAATCTCTCATCTACATTATATCTATTCTGTAGATACAAAGCCCCAAAATGTACATACTATACATACAGTTGGTATCGACATGAAGTCCCATTGCTTTTTCTTTTCTTCTGTGGGCAGAAGGAGCCTTCACTTTGGAGTGGTTTCTAAAACACAGTTTACATTAAAAGGGACAGAAGAGTGTAAGAGTGTGTTGTTGCCCTGACAAGGTCCCATTCTTTACTAGGAAGTACAATCTTAGTTGTCCTTGAGTTCACTTGAATTGAGGTGTTTCTTCTTTTGAAAATACTAAGTTTTCTAGTTCTTTGGCAGGAGAAGTGGTATGTTCCTGTCTTTTTTGATGAGGGGTTCAGATGTTACATTACCCCTCATTTCTTCCTTCAGGAGAGGATGGCCTTAGCATGCTGAAGACGAATTAAATCATCAACACTGAAAGACCCAATTTTGTCAGTAGTATAGAAGACTTTGTCTTGTTCCATCCTTGAAAAAGCCTAAGAATGTCAAATATGAGAAGCCACACATGCAGACTCCTTTAGATAGTTCAGCTACAGCTACTTTGGCTGAGGTTTACACTGCCAACTTCTGGCAGCTCACTAAGGTCATCTTTCAGGGCTAAATTTAGATTGCTGGAGCAAAGGAGAGCTTGTTTTATTAGGTTACTTAAAAATTGGGATCTCAAAAATGTCACAATATTGTGACCTGCTTCTAAGAACAGTACCTGTTACCTGTGCACTTGTTCCTTAAACATAATGAACACACACTTTTGTAAAAAGTTAGTTTATTAATCTATTCAAATTCTACCCAATCTACAGTAGTTACTACATACTCAAAGCAAATTTTAATGAGGCAGGCATGGGCTGGATTGTATTGGAATGTCAACGAAGTCTAACAACTAAAGCATCAAAAGGCACTACTTGACTTGCACTACTTATGCTAGAAAAATGTATTATTTTAAAATACTTTCAAGGTGCCATAGAACATGCCTATTTTAAAGGTTCATCCTTTTCAGCTGTAATTTTGCTGTGTACTTACCAAAAGTCACAAACCATAAATACTACTTTGTCCCATAAAAGTTATCATTTCCAGTAAAATCCCATGTACTTCCTGCATCCAGTACTTGAGACATGCACACCTCATACAGTCTAAGTGCAGGTCTGCTTTGTCTAACAAACCCATGGGACTGACTGCACTGTGGAATACAAAGTAGAAAATGACAGAAATTTGCAAACTGAGCAGTAAAAAATAGTCAGGAGTGGTGAGTGCATTACATATATTGACCTCATTAGAAATACAATGGCAAGAAATCATTTATGTATGATTATTTGCAAGGGCAAAGGTTCAGATTCATTAAGAAAGAAGTAAATTTTATTAAAACATTCTGAATTATGATCACAAAAGAGAATATCTATAATTTTCAAACAACGTGGATCCTTGTAAAAACCATAAAAGATACAGGAAATAGAATGCCAAAAGGTTAATAAGCTCTTCAGTATGTTAGTTATTTTTGAAGCTTTCCATTTTTCTAATCACTACTCAATATGACCTAGTCACAGATGTTGGCATTGGTGTTTGACTGAAAACCCACTTAGTAACTTCGTGGCCTTACCCCCTGCTTCCATGCTCTTTCTCTCTGAAGAAGGTAAACTGGCAAATACAGGCCATGCTTGTGTGCCAAGGCACGAAGATCGAAGTAGTATCTGCCATGAATGCTGCCAGCAACGCTGATATTAAAATCAATTAGCTCCACAAAGTGCCTTTCCAACTCATTCCTGGGGAAGGGGAAACACAACAAAACCAACACAGCACAATGTTAGTTCACTGGGCTACCTTCAAAAACATTATTCTCAGGCAAGAAATGTGGTAAAGCCATCAGGTGCTCTAGTTTATTAGAATGCATGAAAGAACTCACACTGGACAGAACCCTATTGATTGAGGAAATACAAGAAAGCATGCAACTTTCCCAGCTCTCCTTGAAAACTTAGAAATAACTTATACTGGAAAAGAAATTTGAATGTAAAAAACATGTTAATAAACTTGATTTTCCCACGTGCTTTCAAAGACATATTCAAATGTAATATGGAGAAAAACAACATAAGAAACACAGTAAAGCCTTCAGCTTTTTCATTTCTTTGAAAACATGAAAGGATTCAATGGAGTAAACCCCTTATAAATACAAACATGTGGTAAGGTCTTCAGCTGTTACAGTTCCACATGAAGATAAGAACTCATTTCTGAAATAAAACCTATGAATGTATAGCATGTAGAAATGCCTTCATTTATGTGATATTTGCCCAAGACTCATGATAACACACACTGCAGATACACCCTATAAAAATAAGAAAGCACATAGGATTGGAACCCTAGTCGAATACCAAATATGGAGAAGTTTTCAGTTTTAAGAATTTCTTCAACATTTACGTGAAAACTTCCCCTAGAGGGAAATCCTATCAATGTTCGTAAATTGGAAAGCCTGATGCAAATTGATTCTTGTATAATCTTCAAAAATGTACATAAGCAAATGTTATACTTCTATTTTGTTTCTCAGTGATTCTTCATTTGAAAGGGTCTTTGTACTTCCGCTTATTTTGCAAGAAAACATTTTGGTTACAGTTTTGTAGATACTCTTTAAAGATTACTATATGAATTTAATAGGCAGTTTTTTGTTGTTGTTGCTGTTGTCAGTTAGTAAAATTTTTCTCTATTTAAAAATATCACACTGAGCTACTAAAATTGCTCCAAATTCTGTTTTGAAACAAATACAGCCTATGTACATGGATTGCTATGCTAATGTCCAAACAGGGCACAGCTGCTTGCAGTCCATTCTGCATCCAGCACAAGTTTGGGACGAGGAGAAAGGTGACAGCCTCCTCTGCACTCCTACAGCTGAACTTGGGGCTCATTCTTGAGGTTCCATTGCACAACTCAGACTCCATGCTCACTCCCAAGGCACCAAAATAGTGATCAGATGACAGAAATGATAGATGCCATTTATTATCTGTCACTATTATGGGACAGAAATACTCTTTACACTTCCAATGGTAGAAAGATCAGAGAGAGACATCTTGGCTAAACTCATTTTAGGAGATGCCTTCTGGTAGGGTGCCGGCCTTACACAGTGTTTCACCTGAGTTGAGTTAGAAATGAAACCCCGAGGTGTTCAGCATCTGTCACCCCTGACCACAAGACTGTGGGGATGAGTTGAATGCACTGAGAGGGGAACAGGATGGGAGCAGCCCTCTGCCACATGATTATTCAGCTGTCCTGCCCAAAGGTTTTGTTTTTGTTTTTCTTGAGACAGGTTCTTGCTCTGTCACCCAGGCTAAAGTGCTGGGGCACAATCCTAGCTCACAGCAGACTCAACCTCCCAGGCTCAAGTAACCCATTCACCTAAGCCTTTCAAGTCAGAACTGCAGGCTCATGCCACTTAGCTGGGCTATTTTTAAAAATTCTTTTTGTAGAGACAGGGTCTCACTTTTTGCCCAGGCTGGTGTTAAACTCCTGTGATCAAGTGGATACTCCCACCTTGATCTCCCAAAGTGCTGGTATTACAGACATGAGCCACTGTATCCAGCACTTGGTCAAATGTTTAAATAAATAAAAAACTAGAGTAATCTTACCACTCTCATAGTAATCCCTGTAAAGACTTAATTGTATAAAAACAATACCTCAACAATACATTTGGTTTCTTGGTTTTTAAGTTTCAATGTTTCATCCACTAGCTAAGTCAACAAATGCTTAAAGTTCTCCGGTATGGAGAGTAGCTAGGATATAAGCAGATATGTGGGTTTCTCCGTTGTTTAACCAAAAACCCAGCTGAAACTACTTCCAACATTAATTTCCTATTCATATAACCACAAGGCTACAGGAATGTAAATCAGATAATGTTCAAATAATCAGCTGACCAGGACTTAATTTACTACAGGAATATATGCACTTCATAATCCCTTTTGTGTTTTTCCATAAACATATTTTAAATGTATAAAATACACTTTTTTATAAAATTATCATGTTTATTAATAGTAGTTATTGGAAAAAATCATTATCCCTACAGGATGTGTACCTTCTTAGTTTTGTGTTGTTTTTTAAATGGCTGAATAGCATTTAAAGCACAGCAAATTTCCTGAATAGGAGCTGCTCAGTTTAACTTACATGTGTTAGAGTGTGTATATGTGTATGTGTGTGTGTGTGTGTGTGTGTGTGTGTGTAAGCTGTTTATCAATAATGTTTTTAAATTTTATTTCAACCGCTTTTTAGGTACAGGTGGTTTTTGGTTACATGGATAATTTCTTTAGGGGTAATTTCAGAGCTTCTGGTGCACCTACCACCTGAGCACTGTACACTTTACCCAATATGTAATCTTTTATCCCTCACCCCCTTCCCAACCTTCCTCCCAGAATCTCCAGAGGACATTGTACTATTCTTATGCCTTTGCATTCTCATAGCTTAGCTCCCACCTAAAAGTGAGAACATATGATATTTGGTTTTCTATTCCTGAGTTACTTCACTTAGAATAATGGCCTCCAGCTCCATCCAAGTTGCTGTCAAGGCCATTATTGCATTCTGTTTTATGACACAGCAGTATTCTATGGTGTCTATATTCCACATTTTCTTTATCTACCCATTAGTTCATGGGCATTGAGGCTGGTCCCATATTTTTGCACTTGCAAATTGTGCTGCTATCAACATGCATGTGTATGTGTCTTTTTCATATGACTTCTTTTCCTTTGGGTAGATACCCAGTGTGAGATTGCTGGATTGAACAGCAGTACTGTTTTCCATGTGCTTGTACTAGTTTACATTCTAATCAGCAGTGTAAGTGATTCCTTTTCACCAAGTCCATACCAACATGTATATTTTTTTATTTTATAATGATGGCCATTCGTGCAGGAGTAAGGTGGTATTACATTGTGGTTTTAATTTGCATTTCCCTGACAATTAGTGATGTTTCTGAAGGAAAATATATTCTAACAAGACAAACAGATGTTGAAAAGTTTGAAGAAAAAATCTGATAGACACTTATTTTTAAATGGTTTAATTTACAGTCAAAAAGAGACCATTATAAATAATCAACAGCAGAGGGACAAGGAAAATGTCCATTAAACACTTTGTTGTAATGTTTTTCAATATACAAAGATCAGCAACATAGCTCCTGTTCAGACCATAGCTCCTGATGCTTCTGCATTCACAAATAGCACCGTAAAACTGGTTGTCTACTGGCCAGGCGCGGTGGCTCACACCTGTAATCCTAGCACTTTGGGAGGCCGAAGTGGGTGGATCACCTGAGGTCAGGAGTTCAAGACCAGCCTGGCCATCCTGGTGAAACCCCACCTTTAAAAAAAAAAAAAAAACTGGTTGTCTTGGAGCTGGCCTCTGTCACCACTGCTTCTGAAGCTCACATCTGTGGACACCTGCACATTTCCCTGTGTATTCTCTCACCTTGTAACTAGAGCTAGAGCCCCACCAGATTAGCTACCGGCTCTGAGATCAATTTAACTGCCATTATACTGGAGCTAAGTGTTCATCATTACAAATTTTGCTCCCTTGAAGAAACCAGTTTACAAGCTGGGCTCGGTGGCTCACACCTGTAATCCCAGCACTTTGGGAGGCTAAGGCAGGTGGATCACCTGAGGTCGGGAGTTCAAGACTAGCCTGACCCATGGAGAAACAACATGGAGAAACCCCGTCTCTACTAAAAATACAAAATTAGCTGGGTGTGGTGGCACATGCCTGTAATCCCAGATACCTGGGAGGCTGAGGCAGGAGAATCACTTGAACCCAGGAAATGGAGGTTGCAGTCGAGCCTAGGCAACAACAGCAAAACTCCATCTCTCTCTCTCTCTTTCTCACGCACACACACACACACAAAGACACCAGTGTACACACTGATGAAAGTAGTCATTAACAGCACTTTAGCTTCTGCAACTTTCAAAGTATATCTATTTGTTTCAAATTAATTTTCTGTTACATCCTTTGCTAAAATGGCTACTAGCAAAATCACCATGACAACTCAGTTTCTACTATTAGCAAAGTGGTAATTTAGCAGCCATTTGAATAGCAGCCAACAGTCACTAGTCTCTTCTTAGTCAAAAGAAGCCTCATTTCAGTTGTAAATATACACTGTGGTAATTCTGAATGATGACTTTAAAATTCTTTTGGGGTACACTGCAGTTGAATATATTCATAGGGTATATAAAATATTTTCAGACAGGCCTAGAATGTGTAATAATCACATCAGAGTAAATGAAGAATCCATTGTACCTCAAACATGTGTTCTTTTTTTTTAATTCTACAAATTCAATTACACTCTTTTAGTTACTGTAAAATGTACAATTAAATAATTCTTGACTGTTGTCACCATGTTGTGCTATCAAATACTTAATAGATCTTATTCTTTCTAACCAAATGTGTGCACCTATTAACCATTACCCCTTACTCCTCATCCCCCATGCTACTTTTACCAGCTGCTGCTAACAATTCTCCTGCTCTAGCTCTTCATGAGTTACATTGTTTTAATTTATAGCTCCCACAAATAAGTGAGAATACATGAAGTTTGTCTTTGTCTGGCTTATTTCACTTAACATTTCCATTCATGTTGTTGCAAATAACAGGATCTCATTCTTTTTTATGGTCAAATAGTGCTCCACTGTGTATATGCAGCATTTTCTTTAGCCACCCATCTCTTGATGAACACTTGGAATGCTTCCAAATCTTGGCTGTTGCGAATAGTGCTGCAACACACATGAGAGTGCAGGTATCTCTAATATACTGATTTCCTTTCTTTTGGGTTTATACCCAAAAGGCAGATTGCTGGATCATATGGTGGCTCTATTTTTGGTTCTGAGGACCTCCAAACTGTTCTCTATAGTGGTTGTACTTCAACTATACTCCCACTAACAGTGTTCAAGTGTTACCTTTTCTCTATATCCTCACCAGCATTTGTTATTGCCTGTCTCTAGAATAAAAGCCATTTTAAGTGGGGTGAGAGATGATCTCTCATTGTAATTTGATTCACATTTCTCTGAAGATCAATGATATTGATGTTGACTATCTTTTCATATATGTATTAGCCATTGGTATGCCTTTCTTAAGGAGTTTTGAAACGGGTCTCACTTTGTCACTCAGGTTAGAGTGCAGTGGCACAATCACAGCTTACTGCAGCATCAATCTCCCAGGCTCAGGTAAGTTTCACACCTAAGTCTCCCAACAGCTGACAGGCACATGTCACCAAGCCTGCCTAAAGCATCCTCTTTTTCAGAAATGTCTATTAAGATATTTTTCCCACTTTAAAAATCAGATTCAATTTTTTTCTATGAAGTTATTTGAGCTCCTTAAATATTCTGGTAATTAATCCCTTGTCAGATAGTTTTCAAACATCTTCCCCCATTCTGTGGGTTGTCTCTTCACCTTATTGATTGTTTCCTTTGTGGTGCAGAAGCTTTTTAACTTGATGTGACCTAATTTGCTTGTTTTTGCTTTGGTTGCCTGCGCTGATGAAATATTATGCAAGAAATATTTGCCCAGTCCAGTATCCTGGAGAGTTTTCTCAACGTTTTATTTCAGTTTCATATTTGAGGTATTAGATTTAAATCTTTTTATTATTTTTTTTAAAAAACAGAGGCAGAATGTCACTTCATTGCTCATGCTACTGTCGAATTCCTGGCCTAAAGTGATCCTCCCATCTTGGCCTCCCAAAGTGCTGGGATTACAAGTGTGAGCCACCAAGCCCCACCGAGATTTACATCTTTCATCCATTTTGATTTGACTTTTGTATTAGGTAAGAAATAGAGGTCTAGTTTCATTCTTCTGCATATGGATATCCAGTTTTCCCAGCATAACTTATTGACGAGACTGTTATTTCCCCATTGTATGTGCTCGGCACCTTCATAGAAAATGAGTTCACTGAAGATGTATGAATTGGTTTTTGGGTTTTCTATTCTGTGCCATTGGTCTACATGTCTGTTTTTAATCACAGTGCCATGCTATTCTGGTTACTATAGCTGTAGAGGATAATTTGAAATCAGATAATGTGATTCCTCCAGGTTTGTTGGTTTTTGCTCAGGATAGCTCTGGATATTGAGTCTTTTGTAGTTGCATATAAATTTTAGAGTTCATTTTTTTATTTCTATTTCTGTGAAGAATGTCATTGGTTTTGAAGCCTTGTGGAGGTACCACACTGGTGGTCTGAGATCAGACCCCGAGGAATTCTCTGGATTAGCCGACAGAGACTCGCTTCTTCCCTTACTTTCCCACAAAGGAAGTCTGTCTCTCTGTGCTAGGCTGCCTGGAGCTGGGAGAGGAGCAACACAAGCACTCCTGTGGCCACAACCACAGGGGTGCTTGTATTGTGCTGGGACAGCACTAAGACTGTCCAGACAGCATTAGGTCTGAAGCCGGCACAGCACTGTGACTGCCCAAGGCCCACTGTAACAAGTACACACTGCCACTTAACGTCACTCAAAGGCCCAGGGCTCTACAATCAGCAGGTAGTGATGCCAGCCAGGCCTCTGTCCTTCCCTTAAGTGCAGTAAGCACCCCTGGTCCCTGGATGGGTTCAGAGGTTCTATCTGGGAGCCTGTGCTGGAGTCATAAACCTTAGACATCTACCTGGTATTCTGTTTTACCATGGCTGAGCTGGCACTGAATCCACCAGGCAAATCCCTTCCCGCTTTTCCCTCCCCTTTCCCCAGGCACAGTAGTCTGTCCCCACATATAACATCATCACAGTCCCATGGGGATTAGCGCCAGGTCACCATGGATGTTCACTTAATAATACCCAAGGGCTCTCAGTCAGCTTGTGGTGAATGCTGCCTGCCCTGGAACTCATTCTTCAGGGCTGTGGGCGCTCCTCTGGACCAGGGTAGGTCCAGAGATGCCATCCAAGAGCCAAGGCCTGAATTGTGGACTCCTACAGCTCACCTGGTACTCCTCTGACTGTAGCTGAGCTGGTATCTAAGCTCAAGAAAACTCTTTACTTTTTCCTCAGCATTTGTCAAGCAGAGGGAGTCTCTCCTTGTAGCCACCACAGCTGGGAATGTGCTTGGTCACACCTGAAGCGAGAATATCTCTCTCCAGTCTCACTCCAGGCCCATGGCATGTACTAAATGGTCACCACTGATGATTCTTCTGGGCCCAAAGGGTCTTTCATCAGAAAGTGATCAGAAAGTGATGAATCCTGCCATTACTGAGTCCTTCCCTTTAGGGTAGCAGGTTCCCATCTGGCCAAGAGCTTGTCTAGAGATGTTATCCCGAAGCTGGGACCTGAAATGGGGGGGCAGGCTCATGACTCTGACCAGTGCCCTCTCCTACTGTGGCTGAGCTAGTATCCAAGTTGCAAGACAAAGTGCTCTTTCCTCTTTCCTCCCCTCAAGTGGAAGAAAGAGGTCTCTGTCAGAGCTGCGAGCTGCACTGTCTAGGGTTGGAGGAGGGGTGGGCAAGCACTCCCTAGCTGCCGCAGCTGCTGTCTCTCTGGGTCACATGCCCCCAGACACACTGGCTCCAAGTACAGCACAGCACTTGGACTTGCCTAAGAGTTGTGGTCCTCATGGCCTAGACAGACTTTCAGGTGTATTAAGGACCCCAGAGTTTCACAACTCAAGTTAAAACCACTGGGATAACAATCCTCCTCTGGCTGGGGCTAGTCTCAATGTTTTTTCCATGGGTGGGCACTGGGTGAGTTCAGCCTTGTTTTGCTTTCTGCTATGACAAGGCAGCACTGAGTTCAGGCAGTCCCACAGCTGCTGTGCTCTCCCTGCCCCAAGCATGTAGCCTCTCTCCTTGCCACAGGTTCACAGGGGTGGAATCAGCAATTCAAGACTGTCTTTTCTAGGTTGTTCAGTGCCTCTTTCAGTGATATGAAGTCAAAACCATGTGCTGTGATCACTTACCTAATTTTTAGTTCCTATGGAGGTGCTTTTTTTATTTAAATAGTTGCTCAATTTGTTATTCCTGTGGGGAGCACAAATGGCAGAGACTTCTATTCAGCCAGCAGGCTCCAACCCTGTGACTGCACACATTCTGAATGACATTCTTATCTGGAGTAATAAGCAAATGTAAAAACAAAAACCCAGAAAAACCTAAACTTCTTGCCACTGCCTGAGGATCTTTATCTTCATATGCTGCTCAATGTCAAGAGGTGTTCCTGGGCCGGGCGCGGTGGCTCACGCCTATAATCCCAGCACTTTGGGAGGCCGAGGTGGGTGGATCACGAGGTCAAGAGATCGAGACCATCCTGGTCAACAAGGTGAAGCCCCGTCTCTACTAAAACTACAAAAAATTAGCTGGGCATGGTGGCGCGTGCCTGTAATCACAGCTACTCAGGAGGCTGAGGTAGGAGAATTGCCTGAACCTAGGAGGCGGAGGTTGCGGTGAGCCAAGATGGCGCCATTGCACTCCAGCCTGGGTAACAAGAGTGAAACTCTGTCTCAAAAAAAAAAAAGAGGTGTTCCTTCAGATTTTCCTAAGTGTCATCTACAAAGCCATTCTCGCTGTCTAGTGGACACTGCGTGAGCCTCTGCTGGAAATGCCTCCCTGGCTCACCCTGACAATCAGCTCCGAAGACCTTCCCTTTACAGCAGTCATCAGGCCAGACTGGATGAAAGACCCATGAGGCTCCTGTTTCAGGGGCATGTTGGTGCCATCTGTGAGCAACCCCATGACTCAGCAAGATTTCTTGCACTCTCCTAGGTAACTCGGGACCCTCCCAAGTGCTGCTGTGGTTGCATGAGAACCCCAGGAACCTCCTGAGTGTGGTGAGCATTAGGTGATGCCCCAGCAATGTTTCTCAGACTGCCTGAGGGGAACACTGGAACTTCTAACTCATCAGCCCAGTGATGCAACACTCCTAATGAGGAGAGGACAGGGGCACAGGGAACTGAGGCTATTCTGTATCTCAAGGTTTCTATAAAACAGATCTTCAGATAAAAGCAGGGGGAACACCAGCAAAAGCAAACACACAATGTATAAGTCAGGGTGAAGCTATACTTCACAATGCAGAGACCCAAGACCTGTCAATGACCAAACAATTATTTCAAAGGCCAGACGTATGCTCCTTACAAAGAGACTGGAACTTGCAGATAGCTTGTAAAAAGCCATAAGGATATTTACTGTACTATTATGTTCTGGTAGTACACTGGTAAGATATTTGCCAAAAACATTCACTAGAAATATACTTTTCCATTTATGAGATTATTTACAACAGCAATTTACCAAGACCTACCAATGAACAGTGAAAAATATGAATGGTTGTTCTAAAGCTGGGGAGAAAGAGCATGTGGTATTTATGTCCATTCTTATTATCTGCACAATGTAACCTTTAAAAATATTTCTTAAAGTGTTTAAGTTTATGGGAGCAAATATTCAAAAATGGTTAGAAAGTTCACAAAAACCTTCAAACTCACATATCATCAACTGTAATGTTCTCAAAGAGCTTGCAGTAGTGCTCATGGCACACAGCCACATTGTGCCCAACCCTGACGGCAAGAAGAGTGGCTCCGAAGACAATCCTCTTCCAGTTGGTTGGACAAATGTTGATATCGGCATAACTTATAAGTCTTTCGATGTATACCTGCAAAACAGAGGACTGGCCTTTGACTTAGCTGGGTTGAAGTGCTGTGATAAGAACTTTTGTGAAAAACCAGAATACTTCTGGTTTTGACCAGAAAGTAAGTGCCTTTTATTCTTATGTTCTACAAAGGCTTTGCTTGACCAGGCCAAGCAAGGGACCATATCACAATCATAGATCAAATATTTCTGCTACCTACTCTGCCCAGCAGGGGTAGATTAGGCACATCCAAGGAACAATGAATTGAAGGCAGCAGCTCTCAATCACAACATGCATCAGAATTGCCTGGGGATACTGCCTGGGCCTCAGCTTAGACATAGGCATCTTATTCCTGCCCATCAACCAGATGGTTTTGTTACTACTCCCCATTCCAAGCCCTCCACATGCCTTGGATGTGTGTGCACTGTGCACTGTGTGCATGTGTGCACTGAAGTGTGGGGGGAGAAATCAGAAATCCCTCCTGCTGCCTTTAATAGCAATTGTTCTGTGATGAGAAAAGCAATGGCAACATTTTAAGCCATGATGATGATGACAACTCCAATGTGTATATTTGCTTTCTTAAGTTTCTCTTAAAGTTCTGAGATAATTTCAGAAACCTATCTTTATTTAAAAACAGGACCAGGCCACCCTGTTTACAAGATCAATTTCTTTTGTTTCCTTTCTTTTTTTTTTTTTTTGGAGATGGAGTCTCTCTCTGTTATCCAGGCTGGAATACAGTGGCTTGATCTCTGGTCACGGCAAACCCTGCCTCCTGAGTTGAAGCAATTCTCCTACCTCAGCCTCCTGAGTAGCTGGGACTACAGGGGCATGTCTGCAAGCCTGGCTAATTTTTGTATTTTTAGTAGAGACAGGGTTTAACCATGTTGGCCAGTCTGCTCTACAAGACCAATTTCTAACGACGCTTTATAAACAGAAAATAGCTCACCAAACTTCTGATTGCCAAGTCAGCTGTTAGCCTTTTGGCTTTAAATAGAGTACGAAGAAATGTGAAAATCAATTTGTGTCCAGGATCATACTTAAAGTATTCCTCCAGAAGCCATTCTTGCTGAAAGAAGAAAAAATGCAATATAAGTATCCACTGAAGAAAAAACCTAAAGTGCTCTTAAGACAGCAGTGTTCACATTTGTGCCCACCGTAGTGAGATGTCTTTTAGATTTTACAATATGAACAGTGGAATCTTAAAATACCATAATGATTTAATACTCATCAGCATTCACTTAAAAATAATATGAGCTTAACCTCAGAAAATTATTGTTCTTTTTTACTCTTTCCCCCACATAATTCCATCCAAATGTAAGTTACCTTTAGGCTTTAATGTCTTACTGACCATATGTCACTCTTCTCGGCAATAAACTGAGAAAACACAGTTTCCTTTAACCATGAGGCTCTAAGCCTACGGTGTTAAATACAATAATTACTAGCCACATGTGGCTATTACGTATCCGAGGAAGCACATTTTTAAATTTTTACACCATGTAAGTTGATTTAAACTTAAATTATTCTTAATTCTCTTCATAAAAATCATGCTTCTGTGTGAAAAGTACTTCATATACTCATATTGCTTGTTGCAATATGAGTTTATGTAATTGTCTTTTGTCTTTTTAAAAGATACATTTTCTGTTATTTGGATATTATATTTACTAATACTAGCTCATTTACTGGAGAGCTACAGATCAGTTCTTATTCCAGCACATTCTTTTTACAGCACTTAAGATGACTAAACGTAACACAAAATGGGGAAGAGGATTTAAAGAAAGATGACTTTGAGTTCAGCATGAAACAAATGCCAGTCTATGATGCAAATACAACTTCAGTAAAAGTGCCACTTACTGTAAATGGGTGTAACCGTTCATCAAAGATGCCCAAAGTTCTATCGGCATCTCTATAAAATAAGAATATGCATTACTTCAAAAACTGTTAAATATCTTAGTAAACTATCTGTTTAGTAAATAATGCCTGCTATGTGCTCTGGTGCTTACTTCAGCAAAGCAAACAGTTTTTACAAATTCTTCACCTGGATCCTGGCCTGCAGAGGGTTTCCCGACCTCTTCTTCCTCAGCACATGTCCTGTGCTATGAATTATTTTTTACGATAACCAGACAGAACTGTCTGTAAGTATTGACCCTTAACAAGCAATGACAACAAACCAAACATATTTTCACTCTTCTAACCACACACTGAAACACGAGAACATTTTACGAAGCAGTAGTGGTGGGCAATAAAGTCTTTAGAACTTTAATAAATCAAAAAGTGATTCAGATTTTCTAACGTTCTTTCTCTTTAGTTCTCTGTAGCATAGTCTCATGATGTATTTATTTTCTGTTGTTTGAATTAAAAACTCATCTGCCTTATTTTAAAAGAGGTCAATCTTTGACAAACTTTAAACTTCATAAAACTAATGCATTGTGCTTGTGTAATAAACCAGTGATTCTCCAAATGTGCTCTGTGGACCTCTGGGGATCCCCAAGACCCTTTTCCAGAAGGCCTAAGAGGTCACCTCCCTTTCCCTTTCCCTTCCCTTCCCCTCCCTTCCCTTCTTTGTTTTCCTTTCTTTTTTCTTTCCTTCCTTCCTTCTTTTTTTTTTTTGAAACAGAGTTTCACTCTTGTTGCCCAGGCTGGAGTGCAATGGTGTAATCTTGGCTCACTGAAACCTCCACCTCCCAGGTTCAAGAGATTCTCCTGCCTCAGCCCCCCAAGTAGCCGGGATTACAGGCATCTACCACCATGCCCAGCTAATTTCTGTATTTTTAGTAGAAATGGGGTTTCACCATGTTAACCAGGCTGGTCTTGAACTCCTGACCTCAGGTGATCCACCTGCCTGACCTCCTAAATTGCTGGGATTACAGGCCTGACCCACAGTGCCCACCTGACACTGTTCTGATAATCATACTAATTCAACCTGAGAAAGCTGATAAAAAAACTTTTTTAATTAGGAAAGTAATACAAAGACACTGCTTTTTCATAGACACTTGCCATGACTGTATAGAAGCAAAAGTGGGTAAAACTGCTGGTTTCTCAGCCTAAATCAAGGCAGTGGTACCAATTACACTAGTAGTCATTCTATCCTTTATTGTCCATTACAGTTCAAAAAGATAGGCTGAAGTACTTAAGAATGTCTTTGATGAAGCAGTAAAAAATGGTGTTACTAAATCTTGACATGTCGCTTTAATATTCTGAATCAGTGGAAAGTTAACAAGAAGTGCTTCTGCTGACTGTAGTACCGTTGTGTTTAAAAAAAAAAAAAAGAATTCGTGATTTAATTGTGAGCTGAACAATCACTTTTTTCACAGGACATCATTTTTATGTAAAAATACAACTGGGCCAGTGCAGCGGCTCATGCCTGTAAAATCACAGCACTTTGGGAGGCTAAAGCAGGCAGATCCCTTGAGCTCCTTCAGGAGTTCAAGACCAGCCTGGGCAACATGGCGAAACTCTCTCTACCAAAAATACACAAAAATTAGCCAGGTGTGGTGCCACATGTCTGTGGTTCCAGCTACACAGGAGCCTGAGGTGAGAGGACTGCTTGAGCTGAAATTGTGCCTGTGCACTGCAGCCAAGTGACAGAGTGAGACTTGGTCTAAAAAAAAAAAGGGCAACTATCATTCTCAAAAATAAATGACATGAGGTTGTCCCTTCAAGGAAAATAAGTATTTGTTCCCAATGATAAAATTTAAGCTTTCCTGAGGACTCTGAAAAACTCGTTCTTTCTACTATAGCTTGACAGCTTTTCAATACTTAAAGATATTTTAAAATAAGATTGGCAGTTAAACTAAAAGTGATTTTTGACAAAATAAAACATAAACCAACATATTCCAAATAACTAATGCATAATATTATAAATGCGAGTATGAGGGAAAAGATCAATTTACCGTGCAAGAAAGACGAGTGAGTACTGATGGAATAAATTTAGTAATATGTAAAATGCCACTGTAACTAATTTAAGAAAGTAGCACTTGTGAAGTTTTGACTTAGCATTAATGAATACCCACAACTGTCTCAGAGCTTTAAAAATACACCTTTTACCAACTACATATTTGCATGTTAGGTCACGTTATTGCCTCATGCTTTTTTTTTTTTTTAATTTGAGACAGTCTCACTCTGTCGCCCAGGCTGGGGTGCAATGGCACTATCTCCACTCACTGCAACCTCTGCCTCCTGGGTTCAAGCGATTCTCTTGCCTCAGCCTCCCTAGCAGTTGGGACTACAGGCATGCACCACCATACCCACCTATTTTTTTGTATTTTTAGTAGAGACATGTTTTCCCATGGTGGTCAGGCTGGCTCAACCTCCTGTCCTCAACTGATCCGCCTGCCTCAGCCTCCAAAAGTGCTGGGATTACAGGCATATGCCACCATGCCTAGCCATCTTAAAGTAAATTCTTTAAAGCAAATGGCAGAGAAAGAGATAGAGAACTCAGCTTTCTTCTACTAAGCTCCACATTAGAGATTTTCAATAATAGAAATACCTGACACACTTTTTACTCAACTTTCTGCTGAAAAAAGTTTTTTCTTTTTTTTATTTCCAGTTTCCTGATACATGAGAAAAAAGTTATTTTTTCATTAAAAAATTTACGTTAACAATATTGTTCTCAAAGAATACTTTCTGTTAGCAAAACTTGGGTCATGGGTTACTACTGACATCTAGTTGGTACAGGCCATCAATGCTGCTAAGCTTTCTGCAGTGCACAGGACAAAGCATTATCTAGTTTTTGATATCAACAGTGGTAAGGCTGTGAAAACTCAGCTAAAAATAGATTCGGAAAAAAAAAAATCTCAATTTTATAGTTCTACAACAGTAAATATCAATATAATCAATATAAACACATACTCTTTGAGATTCCCAGTCATTTAAGATTTAAGAGAGTCTTAAGGTCCAAAGAAAACACAAATAATTTGCCTTGATATTTTAGTAGGCACAATACAGCTTATGATGTCTAGATCTGTGACCTAACACTGAGCTTGACAGCTTGCAAAGTAGTTAGCTACAATAACAAGACAGGTTTTTAAAAAGCTCACCTTTGCTTGATATGATAATATATCTCCAAGGCCACACTGCGGAAGGAAAAACATTCATAAAAATAGATGTTATCACTGGTTAGGCCTGAAGACATTTTTTAAAAAGGATGCAGAGGAAACTCTCCCAGTGGCCCTGAAATTAAAATCTTCTGGTTCAGAACAGTACCACAAGGGCACTTTTTTGTTTTCATTTCTTGGATTTCAGCAAAAACATGAAAACCAAAATGCAAGGCGATATGCTGTTAGAAGATGTGTTTCTGTTGATTATTATAATATATAAATAATAACATATTTCCCTGTTATATGCTCTTCTACCCACAAGACCTTTCGTCCCATGCAATTTATTTTATGTATGTATTTATTTTTTGACTCAGAGTCTCACTCTGTTGCCCAGACTGGAGTGCAGTGGCGTGATCTTGGCTCACCACAACCTCCACCTCCAGGGTTCAAGCAATTCTCATGCCTCAGCCTCCCAAGTAGCTGAGACTACAGGTTTCCACCACTATGCCCGGATAATTTTTATATTTTTAGCAGGGACAGGGTTTTACCATGATGGTCAGGTTGGTCTCAAACTCCTGGCCTCAATTGATCACCCTGCCTCAGCTTCCCAAATTGCTGGGATTACAGGCGTAAGCCGCCACACTCAGCCTCATGCAATTTATTTTATTTATTTATTTATTTTTTTTTTTTGAAACGGAGTTTCACTCTTTTTACCCCAGGCTGGAGTGCAATGGCACGATCTCGGCTCACCGCAACCTCCGCCTCCTGGGCTCAGGCAATTCTCCTGCCTCAGCCTCCTGAGTAGCTGGGATTACAGGCACGCGCCACCATGCCCAGCTAATGTTTTGTATTTTTAGTAGAGACGGGGTTTCACCGTGTTGACCAGGATGGTCTCGATCTCTTGACCTCGTGATCCACCCGCCTCGGCCTCCCAAAGTGCTGGGATTACAGGCTTGAGCCACCGCGCCCAGCTAATGCAATTTATATCTATGTGTACATATGCTTAAATTTCAGCCACAAAGTAGTGGTTTCTTTTTTAAGATGTTAGGCCCTGCATTTTAGTTTAGTTCCTTATCTCCTACCTACCCATTTTTTATTATGATTTCCCTAAAAATGTATCACATAATGAAAGTGCTTTCTAACAAATAAAAGTTATTTGAAATCTCTGTTGCATAATTATTAGAAAATATATTAGTAAACATAAGCTCACACGGTATCAATGATAGGTACAGTGATCCTAAAATAAGCAGTGCTAACAAGGCCATGTAACATGACACAGTGTAATATGAATGGCAGGTACCTTCAATTAGTTTAACTGAAATATTTATGAACAGATACAGCTCTTCAGATATATGTAACTGTATTTCTAAGTTACCCACAGATGCTGTGTATCACAAAACAAGAGCATCTCTTAGATAAGTTATGTGCTTCCATTTGCCCTCAGCATATAGAATGCGGCTCAAAATAACTGAGGGAAGGCAAATCTCAATTTTAGTAATAGGTCTATATAATATTAGCACTTTTCAAAATGCCTGCAACATTAACATTTAAGCATTTAAAACTACTTCCAGTGGTTTTCATCTCTGAAATAACTTTTTTTTTTTAGAGACGGAGTCTTGAACCTTCATCCAGGCTGGAGTGCAACGACGGAATCTCAGCTCACTGCAACCTCTGACTCCTGGGTTCACGAGATTCTCCTGACTCAGCCTCCTGAGTAGCTGAAATTACAGGCGTTTGTCACCATGCCCAGCTAATTTTTTGTATTTTTAGTAGAGACAGGGTTTCACTATGTTGGCCAGACTGGTCTCGAACTCCTGACTTCATGATCCACCCACCTTGGCCTCCCAAAATGCTGGGATTACAGGTGTAAGACACCACACCCGGCCTTGAAATAATTTTATAATCACAGAATTTGAAGGTATATGCTGGAAAGGACCAATGACCATACATGACATTTAATCCAACACTCATTTCACAGATCAGGGAAACAAATCTTAAAAAACTGACTTGCCCAAGGTCCCACCAAATAGGAGCAGTTTCTCATCCTAAACTCAAATTAGGCAGTGGCTCTCAAATTTTGCTGCACATTAAAATCACCTGAGAAGCTTCAATAATTGCTTCATTTTAAAAATGAGACATTTTGATTTAATTAGCATTGGATATAACTTTGGACATCGAGGGTTGTTGTTAAAAGTTTCCCAGGTGATTTCAATGCACAGGAAAATTTGGAATGATTGAGTTGGGGTGAAAATCAGAATCTTATGGCATGCTTTTCTTTACATGAAGATGCCTCACATCGATCCCTATTTTCCTAAAAGCTTCTCAGTGCCTAGGGATGGAGGAAAAGTGGAGATGGGAAGATGCATGTGTTTGCAGACATGTATTTTGTAGAAAAACTTTGTAAAAGTGATCCCTAGTGAGTTCCATCTATCCCACTGATAACAGTGCACTACTAACTCATGATATTTTCCAAAATCTTTTCTTGAAGCCAATTTGCCCTATTAATTTGCTCAATAAACCTCTATTTCACCAATTGCAAATATTTTTTTAAAAAATTTTAACTTGCTGATGGCAAGTTAAAACTTACTTTTCTTTTGAAAGTAGACTTCTAAAAATTAGAATAATGAGGAAAAAAGCATGAAATTTATTTCAGCAAGATTAACCTTAAAAGCTGCTTTTGAATGGTATGCTAACACATCAAAATCTTTTGAATTCAAAAGAAAGCAGGGACTCCAGTCGAAGTAGTTTGTTCGTTTGTTTGTTTTCCTGCTCGAAGATTTAAGAGACAGCCAGGTGATGTGGTGATCCCAGCACTTTGGAAGGCCGAGGTGCGTGGATCACCTGAGGTCGGGAGTTCGAGACCAGCCTGACCAACATGGAGAGACCCCATCTCTACTAAAAAAAAAAAAAAATACAAAATCAGCCAGGCATGGTGGTGCATGCCTATAATCTCAGTTACTCAAGAGGCTGAGGCAGGAGAAATGCTTGAACATGGGAGATTGTGGTGAGCTGAGGTAGCACCATTGCACTCCAGCCTAGGCAACAGGAGCAAAACTCCATCTGAAAAACAAATAAATAAAAAGATTGAATAGGCTTGGCTGACTACAGACATTTAGTGACTACTCAATAGGTCCCAAAGCTCAGAGCCTGAGACAGAGTTCGAGCCCAGTTTTTGCTGAAACACAATTTCATCTCAACTATTGTTATAAGGGAGAGAGGAAAGTGGCATTATTACAAGTGTAAACTTCCAATTTTTAATTAAAGTAAAAGTTACCGACAATCAAATTAGCTAAAAAGGCTAGCGCATTCTAAACAAAATTGTTTATAAGCTAAGTAGTTATGTTTCTAGAATTAAAAGTAAAATTAAAAATAAAGACATTAATACTCTAAATTAGCACTTTCCAAACTATGTTCTAAAAATCAACACTCATGACCCAAGGAGATGATAATAATGTACACTGGACAGCCCCTGTGGTGGTGGTGTTGGTGGTTGTTCCTTTTCAAATAAACTTCATTTCAGGGTGCTCTCAAAGTGCATCTTTGTGGCCCATGAGGTGCTCATGCACAATGGGAGAAATTCAAATGTTGATACACTGTGGTGCCAGAAGAGAAAAAGCTGTTCCTTCCTCCAAGACTAATGTCCAAAGTAGTACATGTTGATTTAGGCCTACAACTCATTAAACAAACTAATTCTTCGCACACAAAAAAAATTCAATAAAGGGAACCTATCCTTCTCACTGCACTCAACATTCTTAAGGTACAAAGGCATCAAATAAATAGCTACACTTTTTCTGAAATTGCTTATTTGCTAACTGATTTTCCTTCCACCATGATGTCTAAGATTAAAAGAGAAATTGATGTTTAATATTTAGAATCTGGATATCAATATATAGTTGACTCCAATTTCTTAAAAGTGATTGAAGAGGACAACCAAATGGCTGAAATAACTTTAGAATAAACGAGTCTGTCCCTTGGCAGCACAGGTGTACTCACGAGTTTAGTGGCATTGTAAGATGAGGGTGGCTGGCTGTGCTGTCATCAATGAATATGGTGGAGCATGAACTATATAATTGAGGTAAATGCTCAGTAGAAACCTGAAGAGGAAGGGAAGTATATGGTAAACTTATCAAAGTGTATTTTTTTCTCAGTTAAAATGTCAAATGACAAAGCCCTAAGATATTCCTTACACTCCATGAACTGCCTGAGTGTGGTATCATGTGCACTCTACAGAAAACCCGTTGGAGGCTCTTAACTTCCAGAGATGATGTTTGAGATATGGGTTATAAAATGCTGCTCTTAATATGGTACCTGTCATCAAACCTAACAAGGATTTTATGAATAAGATTTCACTGTTTTTTCAACAGTGACATAAAGCAGCTGAGAATTTCTATTTATTTACTATGATAAAATGTAACATATTAAATCATACTGGTACAGGAGCATTTCATTGCAATGAATACAAAACTAATGCATTTACTAAGTTACTAGTCCTAAATGTATTATTTCAGGTGATATTGTAACAAAATAGGTGTTTCAGATTCAGAGGCTCTATGTGCCAGGGCTGCTGGGCCACCAAGTGAGGAAGCCATAGGTTTCTCTAGTCCTGTTTTCTTATGTGGAGGATAAAAAAAAGTATCACTTAAATATTCTCTCACACCCTGAAAACAGATGACAAATTAAAAAATTTAACTTTTCCTTCATGTTTAAATGAGACTGCCATGACATGACTCAAATGAGACTCCCAGAGAACACTTACCATTCATTTCAAAACTTGATTAATTTCATTCTATAAATCATCTGACCTGCACCTAGGCATTTTCCTGCTATACCCCTGCTCTCTGCCTACTGCCTTTCTCTTTCCTTGTTTCAGCAAACTTGACTCCATCTACCCTCTTGGATCGATCTCTTTGACAGCAGCCACACCAAAAATGGTTTCTTTGCCCACTAATTAGTTAAATTCACCACTGATTACAAGATACTAAAATTTTTTTATTTGCATAGGTTTTAGAGGGACAGGTGGTATTTGGTTATAAAAGTAAGTTCTTCAGTGATGATTTGTGAGACTTTGGTGTACCCATCACCTGAGCAAGGAAATACTTGCAGAGTATTCCCCTCATGAGAAAGTATGCCTCTCCGTAAGAGTAAGGGAGGGCTCTTACTCTTCCTATCTCTAGCTGCTGAGCACAGAATTTTGAATAAATCAAAAACTTCGACAAGTGTTTGACAAATTCATTCAGTCTTACTACATTTAATTACACCAAAAACACTACTAACAGTTTACTGTTCATAGGTATTATTTAAGGCAATCACAAAAAGAAACAAATCATCTAACTTCAGTCAGCATAAATCAGAGGGTGAAATTTTATGATCTTTAACAAGAAATAGAAGGGGTTACATAGAAGTTTAATAACAAAAACTAGAAAATAATTACACCTGTAATTTAGTAAGTCAAACCAAAGGCTTACTATCAAAGGTCCAGGACCCATTGGATGCCGATGCCCAGCCACTGACTTCTTCCACTATACCTGCTGCCTCTCATTTTAACCCATGAAAAATACTAAAGTTGTTTTCCTTGTAAAGGTCTATCACCTCCTTGGTTAGGTCCTTTCCTAAGTATTTTATTTTACTTTTGCAGCTATTATAAAAGGGGCTATGTTCTTGGTCTGATTCTCAGCGTGGTTGCTGTTAGGGTATAACAGAGCTACTGATTTGTGTACATTAATTTCATCTCCTGAAACTTTGTTAAATTCATGTATCAGTTCTAGGAGCTTTTTGGAGGAGTCTTTAGGGTTTTCTAGGAATACAATCATATCATCAACAAACAGCAACAGTTTGAATTCCTATTTACTGATGTGGATGCCCTTTATTTCCTTCTCTTGTGTGATTGCTCTGTCTTCCAGTATTAAGGTCTTCCAGTATTAAGCTGAACAGAAGTGGTGAGAGTGGGGCATCTTTGTCTTGTTCCAGTTCTCAAGGGGAATGCATTCAACTTTTTCCCATTCAGTATTATGTTGACTGTGGGTTTCTCATAGACAGCTTTTATTACATTGAGCTATGATCCTTCTATGCCAATTTTGCTGAGAGTTTTAATCATAAAAGGAGGCTAGATTTTGTCAAATGCTTTTTCTGCATCTATTGAGACAATCACGTGGTTTTTGTTTTGAATTCTGTTTATGTGGTGTATCACATTTATTGACCTGTGTATGTTAAATCATCCCTGTATCCCTTGTATAGAACCAATTTCATCATGGTGGATTATCTTTTTCACATGCTGGTGGGAACTACAAACATTGCTGAATGAAATAATGGACACAAACAAATGGAAAGACATACAATACCCATGAATGGATAGAATGAATATTGTGAAAATGGCCATACTGCCAAAAGCAATCTACAAATTCAATGAAATTCCCATCAAAATACCACCATCCTTCTTCACAGAACTAGAAAAAACAATCCTAAACTCATATGGGACCAAACAAGACCCCACATAGCCAAAACAAAACTATGCAAAAACAACAAATCTTGAGGCATCACCTAACCTGATTTCAAACTATACTAGAACGCCATAGTCACCAAAACAGCATGGAACTGGTATAAAAACAGGCACATACACCAATGAAACAGAATAGAGAACCCAGAAATTAACCCAAATACCTATAGCCAACTGATCTTCAACAAAGCCAACTAAAACATTAAGTGAAAAAAGTAAACCTTAGTCAACCAATGGTTCTGGGATAATTGGCAAGCCACGTGCAGGAGAATGAAGCTGGATCCTCAACTCTCACCTTACACAAAAATCAACTCAAGATGGATCACGGACATAAATCTATGACCTAAAACCACAGAAATTCTAGATGATAACATTGGAAAAGCCCTTCCCGACCCTGGCTTAGGCAAAGACTTCATCGCCAAGAACTCAAAAGCAAATGCAACAAATACAAACAAGTGAGACTTAACTAAAGAGCTTCTGCACAGGAAAAGGAACAATCAGCAGAGTAAACAGACAACCCACAGAGTGGGAGAAAGTCTTCACAGTCTACACATCTGACAAAGAGCTATTATCCAGAATCTACAAGGAACTCCAGCAAATTACAATTTACAAATTACAATTACAAAATATGGAACCAGCCCAAATGCCGATCAATCAACAAGTGAATAAAGAAACTGTGATATACATATACATATATATGATGGAATACCACTCGGCCATAATATTGAATACATTCATGGCATTCCATTCCCAGCAACCTGGATGAAATTGGAGACTGTTATTCTAAGTGAAGTCACTCAGGAATGAAAAACATTGCATGTTCTCATTCATATGTGGGAGCTAAGCGATGACGATGCAAAGGCATAAGAATGATACAGTGGACTTTGGAGACTCAGGGGAAAGTATGGGAAAAGGGTAAGGGATAAAAGACTACAAATCAGGTTCAGTGGATGCTGCTCAGATGATGGGTGCACCAAAATCTCACAAATCATCACTAAAGAGCTTACTCAGGTAACCAAATACCACCTGTTCCTCCAAAAAGAAATGAAAAATAAATAAAGTACAGCATTCTTCTCAGCAAACATAAAAAAAATAAAATAAAAGCCAAAGGTTATATTTTTCTCTCTGCTTTTTGGCAGAACAAATTTCAGATATGTTTTCAAACAATTAGTAACTCTTTTCCTTTTTCTGAGATAGGGTCTCACTTTGTAGCCCAGGCTGGAGGGCAGTGGTGCAATGATAGTTAACTGCAGCCTCAAACTCCTGAGCTCAAGCAATCCTCTGCCTCAGCCACCTCAGTAGGTAAAACTAAAAGCATATGCCACCATGCTTGACTAATTTCTTAGTTCACCTTTTTGAGGAGATGAGGCCTTGCTATGCTGACCAAGCTAAAAATAAATCTTAATTAACTTAAATATTTCTAACACAGTGAGCATTCATGAAAACAGCTCCATCTATGTTGTCAAGTAATGGGATAATATGACAGTGTATAAAGTTTGAATGAAAATATCAAACAAGGCCTTAGAAGAAAACTGTAATATGCTTATTATAGATACATCACTAAAGAGCTGTCTTGGTAAATATCATTAATGATATTGAAATTAAACTTTGATTTACACTTAAATATAGGTCTTAAATAAATAAGAAAAACAGAAAAAGAAAGTGACTGGAACAGAAGTGAGCAGTTTCTCTTGCAGAGCTAAAGGCAGGCTGTGAATTTCACGGCAAATAGCACTTTGAAAAGTAGGGTAAAATGTAAAAAGTAGGGCAAAAGCCATCAAGGTCAGTTGAAAATCTGTGATTAGAGCCCCACGTCCACCTGTCCTCCCATCTGATAAGAAACTTAGATGTGTGTTCCCTGAATATACCAAACCTGAGAATTTCTGGCTCACGGCTACCATGGCCTAAACCTGAGATATAAACAAAACTGTATACCAAAAATGGAACTCCAACTTTCTTCCCTAACTCTGCTTTTGGAAAGCAAGTAGCCATGCTTTTACTTTCCAGGCAGAAACTTGGGAGATCCTTCTCAAGAAACTGAACTGTCTCGAATAAAGGTCCCCAGATAATACACTGAGGTCCCCCAAATGAAAAGCTAGTTTGGCTTCCAAAACCTCACACTGGTGCCATCAGTTAACACAAGTCATGCTTTCAAATCAAGTAAGCCAGGGACCACCACACATTGTAGAAAAGCCTCCAACAAGAGAGATTGAAATAACAAAAAAAAATTTCACAGGACCAGTCAAAATCAGGAACAAAACTTTAAAATAAAATCTTAAAACACCCTAAAAAATATAAAAATTCAATAGACATAGTAGAGGATAAACTCACAGAATATCCCAGAAGTAGAATAAAAAGACAAACTGAGGCCAGGCACGGTGGCTCAAGCCTGTAATCCCAGCACTGTGGGAGGCCGAGGCGGGTGGATCACGAGGTCAAGAGATCGAGACCATCCTGGTCAACATGGTGAAACCCCGTCTCTACTAAAACTACAAAAAATTAGCTGGGCATGGTGGCGCGTGCCTGTAATCCCAGCGACTCAGGAGGCTGGGGCAGGAGAATTGCCTGAACCTGGGAGGCGGAGGTTGTGGTGAGCCGAGATCGCGCCATTGCACTCCAGCCTGGGTAGGTAACAAGAGAAAAACTCCGCCTCCAAAAAAAAAAAAAAAAAAAAAAAAAAAAAGACAAACTGAAAAAAACAGAAGGGGAAAAATTTTAAACCAATGCAGATATACTTGTCTAAGCAGTCTAGTGTCTGAGTAACAAGACTGTCTGAAAAAAAGTAACAGAGAAAATAAAAACATTCTCAGAGAGAGACAGTCTGCAGACTTAGTAGCCTCAATAAAATGAAAAGATCCCCACCAAGATATTATTATGAAATTTCAGAATCTCAGAGACAGTAAAGCTCCTAAACAGCTTCCACAGATACATAAAACCCAGTTATAAATAATGTATCACGTGATGGCAATAGATTCAAGAACAACACTGTAATGAGAACACAATTGCAGAATATCTTCAGAACCGTAAAATTTAGATTCAATCTAGAAGTTTATTCTCTATCAAGAAGGATTTTAAGACTGGCCAGATCTCTAAACATCTCTGTCCAGGAAAACGTGCTCAAGTACAACTAGAAAGGATAACAGGACAGAAGGAAACACAGAATCTAGGACTCAGGCGATCCCACACAAGGCAGCAGTTATGTGAGATTAAAAAGACTTTAAAGAGATAGCACAGAAAAGCAGACATTGAGCATGTCTAGGGAAAGCCACTCTATATTGAACTAGAATGACAAAAGGCCAAAGAAAGTTGCCCACCCGTACCAAAAATAAAAGAGGAACAGATATGTTTTAGCAGATGGGAAATATCTTTGAAAGGCATGTGATAAATGCTACAACACTTGGGCGGGAAAACAGCTGGTAGAAAACAGGCCAATGAATACAGTCAGAAAATTAGCTTCATGCTAAAAAATCATGGATGTGAAATGTAAATTATATGTAAAATATAATTTAACAATAATTATTAAAATAATTTTTTAACAAAGTGACAGACCACCCCGAGGCTACTTACTGCTGGATAAACCAGCATAGGCTAGGAAAAAAGAGATGATCCAGAAGAAGTGCAGAAGTGCTCAAATTTCAGAACTATTTCAGAGAACAAACGAAGGAACATGTAATGCAGAGACACAGTGAAAACACCATATGATTTAGCAGTGAATAATATTTGGATAGTGACAATCATGTCAATGTTACTGATTTAATTCAAAAGTGTGCTACAATTGAAAGAAACAGAGGGAGAAAAATAAGGTCATGGCGTAGCAGGGAAGGTATGCTTTCACCTGCTGTGGCAGAAAACCAATACACAGTGATGACAATTAACTTAGATCTTCTATTTTTGTTATTTCATGAAAAATAAGATTAAATATTTAAAGCAGATCTTTATACCACAACAAGACTATTGAAATTTAACTTAAATGTCAGAAACCCTTAAAAGGTGGGCACACTAAGCTGAAGACTTTTCTGGACAAATTTGATATGTAGGAAAGTAGAAGAGATTTAGAAAATACACAAAAAGAGGTCCATGCTGTCACCACTGGGTCCCAATTATAATTTAAAGGACTCAAGAGAGAGATACTTTTACATCAAACTATCAATTTCTCACCTTTATTAGTGTTTACTTACATGGTTTGCATAGCTGCTTTGTCTTTTTTCGTGCGCTAAGAATGAAAAAATAAACTGGTCACTTCTGACACAAATAATATAAAGTAAAAGTAGTTGTTAACATCTTACTGACTACTCCTATATAAAATGAGATAAAATTCCATTTCAAAAAATTATTTTCAACAATTTATAATTTAAACTGTCTGGCATGATAAATCTCATAAAGTAAAACCTAAAAACTTAGATTTACTTTTTGACCTAATTTACTTTTTATCTTTGTTATATATGAATGAAACAATACTCATGTACAAAAGAAAAGGGCAAAAAAATTAGGCCAGATGAAAAATTTAGCGAATAAAAAAGTTTACCTGTTCCATATATGAGCCATGATCCATTAGGATTCTCCCATTTTGCATTTACCTATAGCTTAATTACCAGAATCTAACAGCTAACAGCTCTAAGAACTACTTCCTGGCCTGGCACCTATCTCTAGATGCACCAGACTCCTGCTAAGCATATCCAACCACACTTACTGGTCATCTACTAACATGGAATAGCTTTTCTTTTTTCTGCTTCCATGCTCTCTAGGTGTGAGAAGCCCAGGGCTCTGAACGGAACTGGGAAATACAATTCTTATTTGGTTTGGATATGTTTCCCTCTCCAAATCTCATGTTAAAACGTGACCCTTTATCTTGGAGACAGGGTCTAGTGAGAGGTGTTTGGGTAATGATGGTGGATTCCTTATGAATGGCTTGGTGCCATCCCCAGAGTAAGAGTAAGAAGCAAATTCTCATCCTGGTAGTTTCAAAGACTGTGAAACCTTCCCCCTACCCTCCTCTCCTCCCTCTCTCACAGTGTGGAACTACCTGCTTCCCCTTTGTCTTCCATCATGATTGTAAGCTTGCGGAGGCCCTCACTGGAAGCAAATGCTGAAGCCATGCTTATACAGCCTGAACATCTATGAGCCAATTAAACCTCTTTTTCTTATAAATTACCCAGCCTTAGGTAAATCTTTATAGTAATGCAAAAATGAACAAAAATTCTAGCCAGAAATAACCAACTCAAGAGAGGTGAAGTCTACTCAAACTACAAAAACAAAAGTTACAAACTGCCATATTTGACAGTGCTGCATTACAGTAAATAACATTCACATATGATTATAGATCCTCACTTGTATTCTTGCTACTTAAATCAACTGGAAAACCTGGCTGTGTATGGCTTTTTAGCAAACAAACCAGGATTTCACATAACATTAAGGAAAATAAGCAGGAATAGAACATGTTTAAATTTACATCACATCAAATGAAAAGGTTAATAACTTAAAAGTTTCGAATAACATAAACATGGATTTGATAAACACATGTGGTCAGAGGACTGTGTCAGAGGAGGCTAAAATCATAGATTCAATCCCCGACAATGAACAACTATGTTTTATTATTTATTTAAATGAAAACCAAGCTGAAGCCTAAGTTCTATCATTCATCTTTAAAATGTACTCTCTGGAGCACAGGAAAAGGGACAAAGAATTATACATAAAGATAAATCTAAGACTCCTCCATCACACAACAAATTATGTTGATAAAAAGATGGCAAAATGTTTAAACAAAAAGTTTACATATTTCATTAACATAGTAACAACTAAAGGAAAGTATACCACATGTTAAAATAACAACTGAATATGAAAAATTTAAACCAATATGAGTTTTTCTAAATACTTTCTATAATACATCTGATCAAACAAGAGTTTTCACTCTTTCTTGGCAGAAAAAACAACATTGTCTCACCATCTGTTTGAGATTTCCTTGCTTCTGGATGGTTAGAAGGGTCGGACTCCAAAGCCATATCTATAGAGGGAGAAACAAAAAAAGATGTGATCACTTATAACAGTTTATCAACTCATTTCTTGGACTGCTGTATTTAGGCCATTTAACTACCTCTACCTTTATTCTTATCTATTGAAATGACTGTATAGACATAAGATGGAGCCAGACAAGATGGCGTATGCCTGTCGTCCCAGCTACTCAGGAGGCTGAGACAAGAAAATCCCTTGAATCCAGGTCAGGAATTTGAGGCCAGCATGAGTAACACAGTGAGACCCTCCTTTATTTAACAAGAAAAAATGAAGGGGTAACTGTTCCCTTTGAGTTGTGTAAAATCAACTTTGCATAAAATAAATCAAGATGGCGGTATGTTTTAAAAGACAGGTCTATTTTATAGGCAAAATAAAAGACACACATTCTGAAGTTTTAAAAATTTTTAAAAAGTCAATTCAACATATATGTCACTTCCATGTCATTCTGAAGACACAGAACCTTAGTTCTGTTGAGTAGCTATCTTCCATAGTCATGTGAGATCTCTATATCTTCTTCATTAGCAATACATACAGAGAACATACACAGGCCTTATTTGTATTGGAAAGGGCCAAATGAGACATACATAAACTTATTGTAATCCTAAAGAATAACAATTAAAGAGCCTTGTTTTTGGGCTCTCATCCAACACTACCCATCTATCAACCAGAGTATAAGTTTACACAAGTACTTATATGCTTTGTGTATAAAGGTATAATCAATTCATTCTCATAATAATATTTGTTTATGCTAAAGGAAATCCTTAAATATCTTGAAAGGTGAGTATAGTACTTCCAAGTTACAAAGTCATTTCATCATGAGTCTTAGTTATCCTACCTCTTAATAAATTGAGAGCCCAAAGTTTAAATAGAAAAGCTATAAAACATTTCCTCTACGGTAATGGCATTTAAATGAAACCAATGAGCCAACTGGATTTAATATCTTTGTGATACAATGTTTTCTATTTTTAAAATTCTAATTTTTATTCAAGAACCATATTGTCACCCAGAATTATTTTTACCTAGATTCCTATCTTTGCAAAATTTTACAAGCAAACCAACTGATTGTTTTCTCTTTTCGACCCCCTCCCAGGCCCCTGCCTCTCCCAGCAGTGTACAGACTGGAAAACTTCAACTTTCTTATCTTTGAACAAGATGCTATTGTCAGGAGGGGGAAGGACAAAGGGAAAGCCATGGCAGCAAACACTCTTACACAGGTAAGGTCTGGCATTTTAACCCTCAATCTTTATCTTACACATTAAAAACCTACATTGACATTTCATGTCTTTTGAAAGTTTTGACCACGAACCATCCCCACCTCTTTTTTAGAATAAGGAGGAAAATAAAGTCTGTTAAGTCACCAGAATAAACCTGGAGACACGTTTTGTGTTACAGTAAGAATTTTAAAGTAATCAGTGCCTCATGGGTAAACTGCTTTGGGGAAACCCCCCCACACATACACACCCATTTTTCTGCAGCCCTGGCTGTGACATTTCACACCTTTCACAATTACTTTAAGTACCTTCCATTTTCTTTTCTTCTGTGATAAAATTATGGTTAGAAGAACCTAAGCAGCTTCTATCAAGGTGATTTACAGCAGCCCATTAAGCATACCATATAGTCTCTCGCATGGCAACCACCACTCTGATTTTAAGAAATCCCCAAATATTTGAATATGAATTGTCCTGAGATTTAGCTACCTTAATACAGGGGGAAAAAAATAGGCACTTATCTGGATCCTCCACTTAGGTACCATCCGGATAGGTACAAAGGAAGAACAAGATGGGTACTGGAAAGTTGGGATGTTTGAGTTTTTATTGAGAAAAGGGACAGAATATTTCAAAGAAGACTTATCAAAGAACCACAGGATAATAAATAGAGCTACAGACGACAAGAAGAGCCATCAATAAATGCTCCCATGCCAGCCTGGGAGAATGAGATGAGGGAGGAAGAACTGGGCATTTGGGAGGCGAGGAGAAAAGAAGCTGAGTGGACTCTGGAGAAAGACTAAGTGGTGGGAATGGGAACGCAAGGCAGAGCCAGCCTTTGTTCCTGGCCAGCCCTGGGAAAGCTGGCTACAAGCAAAAAGGAGCTCAAAGTGGGGGATGCCTCCCAGGGGACCCTGGGGACAGCAGCAGCCAGAGTTGTGCCAAGGGCACAGGTCCCCTCCTTACCTTCACGCATCTCCCGGTCATGGATGTGGTGCACGTGGAGGTCCTCACCAGCTTCAAAAGTCACTTCAGCAGGGGCTACAATGGGACTCACTGGTGCTCCTGCCATTCTGTCCCCAACTGCTGCCTCATAGATCTCAGACTCATGGGAAGAAACTGGCCCCTGGTGCTCATCCACCTTGGGGTGCACACAACAGCTCAGTACATTCCCCATGAGCGCCTCTATTCCTGTCTGCCACCACCTGTGCTTCTGCTCACAGCATTGGCCACACACTCCCGCTGCCCTAGGCTGAGGCTATGCTGCACTTGCAGAGATGGTATCACCCGCTGCTCGCCTGCCCACCCCACAGCCTGGCCCCAGCTGGGACTCGAGCCAAGACTCGCCCCTGCCACCTCCTCTGAGTTGACTTGTCTAGGAAGGTGAAGACCAGCCGGCTTATTTAGTAGGTTGTGAACCCAACAAGCGCTGAGAGACCACAACAACTGCCTGAAGAGAGTAAAGACAGAGGAACTCCTCCTCCTTCTGCAGTTATTACAGACTGAAGCCCATTGGCCCAGGTGAGAATCCAGGCATGTGACTCACAATGCCCCACCCCACACCTCACAATGCCCTACCCTAACTGCCACAATGCCCTCCCCCACAGCTCAGAATGCCCCTGCCTGGGCTGCCCCACTCTGTGGCTTATAATGCTGCTGCTCTCCTGGCTCCTCATGTAGTGCCAGTGGGACTGAGGTTTTCATTCATCACCAGATTCCTGAGCTTTTTAGTCCTAAGAAAAGCACCCAGTGGTTTGTTACTGGAAGCCATCTTACCCTTTGAGTTCTATATGAAGCCTCTGTCAGTAGAGTGGGTCCCATTAGCAACCAAGTTGGACAACTTGTATTTGCTGACTGAATGTAGATACATGTGAATTGTTTGTTGATTGTGTTTGTAATGAGATGCTCCTCTCCTGTCTTCCAATGAGTGGTAGTTTTTGTCTGCAACTTGACCACAGCAATCCCTGGCACCCAAGCTCTACTCTCACTAAAGCATTATGGCTGTGTGTTTTGAATGACACCTTAGGACCCAACCTGCCTCCACCTCCTTCTCCATGAAATAGAAGTCTAACTTGTCCTTCCAAGCTCTGAAATGCTGAAGCTTATCCGCTCCCTTCCCCCCTCTGTTTCTTCCTTCCATGGCAGGGACTTTCGGATTTTCTTTCTTTTACTAACAAAGCACTAACCATGACTTTGTCATACAAAATCAAGAGCCATAAAGTGGGGTATCACAGTCCTAACTCAATAAAGATGAATACTCAATATCTGGCAAGCAGTATGTACCTGACAGTGTCCCCACTGTGCTCTGTTCATTTAACCCTCAGAAACAATCTCATTTTACAGATTTTACAGAAGTTGGGATGGGAAAGGTAAGTAACTTTCCCAAGGTCACATGACTGCTCAGGGTGGGGCTATGATTTGATCCCAGGTAGTCTGAATTCCCCAAATCCTCAAGCATGATTATCAGAAAGGGTAGTAGTCCATTTTCACACTGATTCTGAGAAATACCTGAGGTTAGGTAATTTATGAAAGGAAGAAAAAGTTTAACTGACTCATAGTTCCGCATGGCTGGGGGAGGCCTCAGGAAACTTACAATCATAGCAGAAGGGGAAGCAGGCACGTCTTACATGGTGGCCACACAGAGAGTGTGAACATGTGAAGGAGCAACTGTCAAACACATATAAAACCATCAGATCTCAGCTGGGTATGGTGGCTCATACCTGTAATCCTAGCACTTCGGGAGGCCACAGCAGGTAGGTCACCTGAGGTCAGGAGTTCCAGACAAGCCTGGCTAACATGGTGAAATCTCATCCTCTACTAAAAATAACAAAAATTAGCCGGGCGTGGTGGCACATGCATGTAATCCCAGCTACTAAGGAGGCTGAGCAGGAGAATCGCTGGAACCCAGGAGGTGGGTACTAAAGTCAGCCAAGATCATGCCACTGCACTCCAGCCTGGATGACAGAGCAAGACTCTGTCCCCAAAACAAAACAAACCTCATAAGATCTCAAGAGAACTCACTGACTATCATAAGAACAGCCTGAAAAAAACTGCCCCAATGATCCAATCACCTCCCACCAGTCCCCTTTCTTTGATATGTGGGGCTTATAGGGATTACAATTCAAGATGAGATTTGGGTGGGGACACAGCCAAACCATATCAGAAAGTAAAGGCAAAAGTCAAGCCTAGAGAATTGACATTGTAGATTAGCATATTTTTAAAAGAACAACCTTTTTTTTTCTTTTGAGACAGAGTCTCGCTCCATTGCCCAGACAGTAGTACAATCTTGGCTCACTGCAACTTCTGCCTCCCAAGTTCAAGTGATTCTCATTCAAGTGCCTCAGCCTCCCAAGTAGCTGGGATTACAGTAGCCCGCCACCACACTTGGCTAATTTTTGTATTTTCAGTAGAGATGGGGTTTCACCATGTTGGTGAGGCTAACCTCGAATTCCTGACCTCAAGTGATCCACCTGCCTTGGCCTCCCAAAGTGCTGGGATTACAGGCATGAACACTGCTCCAGCCAGAACAACCTTTTTTTCATGTGGATTTTAAAATGCCTCCCCTTCATTCAACACTGATTAAGTTCCTTCTACATGCCAGACACTGTATGTGTAAAACAGTACCAACTCTAAATGAGTGTAGGCAGATATACAAACAAAGGCTTCAGGAGTTCCTGTTTTCTGAGACCACACTGCTGGACATTGTATGAAACTGAGACACAAGCCCACCTCTATTTGACCCCAAATTTGATGCTGGGGTGGTTTTAATTTTATGCTGAGAATTTGAGTCATTGAACCATAGAAGGGTGAGGAGTCTCTGCCAGATGTGTGGGGAGTGGTCTGGATAATAAAGAAGAATTGAAGGAAGCAACAAGACCAATTAAGAGACTTTATCTAGAGGAAGAGTAATGCTAAAGGCACTGGCAGTGACAAAAGTGGAGGAAAATGTTTGTGATCATTTGGGAGACAGACTAGGAAGTGCTTGGTCATGAGATGTGAAAGAAGAGGGAAAATAGAGGAGAGCTCAGGCTCTGCTGGGGAAGACTGGGTACGTAGCGGTGTCTTCCACCTAGTAGAGAATGTGGGAAGAGAAATAGGTAAGGAGGAAAAGATAGTTTTTCACTCTCAGTGTCACATTAAAATGGAACCCTCTAGTCAAAAGTTGAATATAAATCTCTGCAGGCTAAGTCCATTTGTGACATCCCAACATATGTTTTCAAAAATAACACACATACTAAATCAAACCATTAAGACTAACTGGGGAAATTCCCTAAAAGTTACATGCTAAAAAATCACCAGTTTTCATTTATTATTTTCATGGAATAGCTATGAATCTATGGTTATAGAAATGAGACATCTTGCATAAAATAAAGCTAATACATGAAACAAAACATTTAAAATTCTATTGTCCCCAGAGAATAGAGAAAGCCACTGAAGCCATGGGCGTGGAAGTGACTGCCTTGAGAAGTTGTGTATAGTAAGGAGAACTGGAAAGAAAGAAGACCTGGAAAATAGGGTGATTTACACGGCATTAAGTAAAGCTTGCAAAAGTGAGCACTCGAAGTCAAAAGGACCTGTGTATGATCAGGAATGGCTGTTCTTGTTAGTCATTACAAGGGAGATAATGTCTGCTTTTCATTTCCATAACAGAAGCACCTAGCATAGTACCTGGTCAACAGATACTCAATATAAATTATACCCATTCACAGAGTCAAATTTTGCCAGGAGGGCAGGAAAGCTACAAATCAGCTATGGCAACTTAGTGACTGGGCTTGTGCATGAGTGAGTGAGCCGGATGTCAGGCAGTGGGTAAAGTAGCGAACTGGAGGTGAGAAAACAATGACACAAACTGAGGGCTTCTCTCCCCAAGTATTTGGCTGAGAAGAGAGATGCAGTAGTGGTTCAAGGGAAATATGTGGTAAAGAAAGCCTTTCATTCCAAGATTCAACAAAAGCATGAGTATACTTCTACGTTAATGGGAAAGAGCCAACAGAGAAAACACATTTTTGAGTTTAGAAGAGAAGGAAGAACGAATGCACAAATGGCCCCAAAAGGCACAGGTGCATGCAATCTGGATAAGGAACAGATTAGCTTTGGATTCCTACAAAAGCAAGAAGGGAGAAAGGACTTTGTATCTCGAGATATTTCTGGTAGAGGAAAGGTTTAGGAAGAGATCTTCTGATGACCTTTATTTTAACAGACTTTTCAAAAAACTACTGTGGGAAAAAGGATTTTATTATAGAAAATCCCACACTTCTTGATACACCTAACCAAAAAAAAAAAAAAAAAAAAAACTTGATACACTAAACAAAACCCAAGTCATATCTTCCCTAAAAGTGGGCAACTTGAAAAGCAATTTGAGCAAAAATCAAGGAGTTCATTTATAAATAAGTATATCCAAAAAGTAAAAGATGGGCGTAATTTTTCCCACAGAGTTAAGAGAAATAACAACAACTTTAGGGGAAGAGGAAAAAATAATTAAGAAAATTATATGCAATTCTAAAATGTGTGAATATTTACAAATTCTAATGTAAGTAACTACAAAAAGGACTAGAAAAATCATTATCATAGGAAGCAAAGGGTCACTTCAAAAATCAGGGAAGGAGGCATGATTCATATTTAATTTAATTCTGTTGAAAATATGTAAATAAAGTTTAAGGACAAAAATAGGTGATATGTTCAAATGCGGGACACCACAGTGGAAGGAAAAAGAATTCAAGAAAGTTCAGTTTTGGTAACCAGTATCAAGTACAATCCTGAGGACCTAGTGGCTACAATCTGCGTTAATATTGTCTGATGACCTAGAAATGTCATTAGATACTATTTTGAATAATTCTTATAGACTTGAGATGATATCTATTCAAAGTTACAAAATAGTGCCTGCACTTAACAACAGACACACTCAAAAAGAGATATCCATGACTTTAAAAATGGAAGAATTTTAAACTTTCTAAACAGGAAAATTTGGGGAAGCACTGTTATGAAAACAGAGTTTAAAACACTTTGATTGAAGGCAATACTTCTTAATACTGAAGTACATTAAGAAAAAATCCTATCCTTCCATGACATTGGCAAGTCTGAGAGAGTAGTGTGATTTGAATTAATCAGAAGTTTGATCCTGTGAAATGAGCTGAGACCTTGTTTATGATTACAGAGTGAACTAATTAATTCATCCATTTATTCAATGCCCGTTTAATACTTGAGCCCTTAGTAAACATGCTGCACACTGTGTGTATGTGCTGCGGATATTGTTTGGACCAACATAAACAAGGTTCTTATTCTTGTAAAACTTTATCTTCCAGTAAGGGAGTTAACAGACTGTGTTGCCCATCACTCCTACCTGCATTGCAGGATTATATTGATCTCCAGCTATTGGATCTTCATTCCAAACATTAGGATACAGAAAGAAAAGGAGGAGGAAAGTTTTTTTGAAGGTACTCATAGCACAGTGCTTACAAATTATTGGCTTAAAACTTAGTCATATGGCCATACCTAGCTGCAGGGGAGGTTCAGGTGACATAATCCTATAGCTAGGGTAATGAATACAGAAGAAAAAAATTAGATATGGAAAGGAAACTAGCATGCTATGCCACAATCTTTAAAGAAAGGTTAGGGAAATTTCAGCTTAAGGCAAGAATAATCACAACAAAATTTTACAACCCTTTATAAGCATATATGAAAAACATAACAAAAAGTTTATAATGATCTTGTCTTAAGCTAAGAGCACAGAAAAAAATGAGAAAAAATATAAAATGAAACTGGTTTACAAGTAAGAAACATTTTATGGCAGTCAAGAGGTCAGGGTTGTACAGCATATTATGTGAATGTTGTGACTCATTAATTTCATCTTGGATAGCATAATTTGACATTTTATAAAAGTGGTTTTTCATATGAATTTTTTCAGGTGCCCTACAAAGTCCTGTCCCATCAGAAGTGAATATTAGTCTTCAGCATTCTTAAGATATCTTAATGGCATCTTCTACAGTCTTCCATTGTTCAGTTTAGGTAAACCTGGGAATCATGTTTGGGTATTATCTCCTCCAACTTCTGTTACCCCATCCCCATCATAAGTCAGGAAGGTCTTGGATATTTTGTGCTCTAGCAATTAATTCATCATGAATCCTGGAGTTATTTGCTATTCTAGTTATTTGTTCTACTACACTTCCCATAAGCATAATAAATTTACCATGATTTATTCCTAAACCATATGGAATTTGTACCTCTGATTTGACTTTGTGAGCAAAAGTTCTATGTATGTCCTGTAATTCCTGCCTAGTATAAAACTAATTTTCAGTAGAGATTATATTTCAGCACTCATGCACCTATGTAACTTTCACTGTTATTGCTGGTCGGGCTTTCCAGGGATCATGATAACCTCCTGGGTTCTCTGGAAGAGGGACATATTCTTCAGGTAATGTTGTAATATTTTGTAAGCTAAAATCTTATATCTATCTAAATTGACAGCGCCTAATGTCTTCAGTAACAAGACTGGTACTTTTTAGTTTTCTTAGCTCTGTGAGTTACTGTGACCAATGCCTAAGTTTAGGTAATCAGGCCAGTATCAGACTGCTCTTTGCTAGAACTTTTTGCCTAATATATTTCTCTATTGCTTTACATGTCACTGGATGTTAATATGGGTTCTGGAATTGCAATTTTTAAAAATGTTTTGTGAATGACTGGCAACATAGTAATTTAATTTTCAAATATAATTTGCAAGTGAAATGTGTAGGACTCCAATAAGGCACAATGAC